AGTGTAGCAGACACAGACACAGTATCTGAGACGGAGGGAGTATTAGTAATCATGATAATATCACAGGTGCCTTTCTTCAAATTTGAATTGAAATGATTTGATTTAGATTATTTTATTTAAATAATTATTGATTTAATATTTTAATGGTAGAAAAATGTACTTAAACACAAATTTAAAAAATAAAAATTTTAAAAGAGAAAATTGAAGGAACATAATTTATATTTTATATCAATTACTGATGGTTATATGAAAAAATAAAATTGAAAAGAAAATTTATGTAACTTTTTTTTGCACATTATCGTTTTGTCCAGAAAGCATAATTGTATCTGGTTCGAAGATAACACAAAACTGCACCTTATCCACTTGTATTAGACATGCCAACTTGGTAATAATCAAGTAATGACATCCTCCTATAAGAAGACTTATGATCCTGGTTCGAATTTGGACAGTTCTTAGAAATATAAGTAAATTGCAAAAAATATCCCACACTTATACCCTATTATCACTTTTGTCTTGTATTTATATTCCTGGTAAAATATATCCCACATGTTTGCATGTTTAACGCAATCACGCGCGGCCACACGCGGTCAAAAGATAGAAATAACGATTTTTGAAAACATATGGGATATATTTTGCCAGAGAAATAAATACATGACAAAAGTGATAATGAGGTATAAGTGTGGGATACTTTTTGCAATTTTCCCATAGGGTGTGTGCATGTATTTTACATTTGTTACAATTTAATATTTGCGAGATTATTTGGACAAATGATGAAATTTTGAGCATAATTTTCTAATTATTTATTCTTTCCGTCCTACTTAATTTGTTTTATATTTCTATTTTCGTTCGTCCTACCTGACTTGTAAAATATAAATGTAATACTATTATATATATTTGAGAGTGAATAACTTGTAATTATGTATGATTTTTATATTTTTTTCAACAAATTTTATGGACCACCACTTATAAAATATATTATACTATTATATACGATAAGTAATAAATAATATTCATCACTGAGTAATCATTACGTGCATTTGATGATTATCAAATTTCAAAGTTTAGAGAAATTTTGCGTGAAAGAAATTGATGAAAGTGGCAATGATACAATAAAAGACATGCTTGTTGGTCATAAAAATATGAGAAAATTAATTTTATTTGTTAAGAAGTATAGATAAAATAATTTTACAAATATAATTGAAGTTGTCAAAAAATTGCAATTGAAATAGATATTGATCAATTTTATTATTATTATTATTATTTTCTCAAAAACGTCAAATTAAGAGTAAAACAATTTGACGATGACAGTCCACAGAGTGCAAAACAAATGTTCAAAATTATTTTTTTTGATTGCATCATTGATCAAACAATTGTTTAACTTAACATGAAGTTTGAACAATATGATTAATATAAAAATGTATTTGGTATTTTGGTTTGTTCTGAAAAATAGCATTCATTAGATGATATTAAAATGTTGCCTATAGGATATTGTTAACCACAGCCGTTGACAGTTGCAACCATTGAAAGAAGTTTTTTAAAATTAAAGTTGAAGAAAGACTAACTTTGGCAGCAATTGAGAATGAAATTTTGGACAAACAAAGTTACGAAGATTTGATTGTAGAATATGTCTTTTATAAGTATTTTCAATTTCTATTTTACAATTTTTTTTTATTACGTCGTTAAGTTCATTGAATTTTAATTATTTTTGCAGATTTTAATCGGAATATCTATTCCTATTTTGATAGCATATCAAGTTTGCTCTATAATTATAGAGAAGCTTGTTTAAATCTGATCTTAGTTATAGTATTATACCATATAAATTTATAATTTGATAAAATCATTATAATTTAACTAATTTTATTTTTTTTAGTTTATTTGTGCAAAGATTTTGTAATGAATGGTGCATTTAGAGTTCGTAATTGTTATTGTTATTGTTATTATTATTATTATTATTATTATTATTATTTTGTTGTTGTTGCTATTGTTGGTGATGGTGGTTATTATTATTGATGATGATACACTTTATCGTTTATTGGATATATAATTAAAATAATTTTTACTCTTGTGTGGTTTATTATTATATTTTTCGGTGATATTATTTTGAAAATAAATTTAATTGTGTATTTATAGGATCTAAAATTTATTTTTTGTTTAGGTTTTCAAAAAATTCGAGACGACCTTGATGACAATAATTTTGATACATCCACAACACGGACTTACTAGATGATATGCATTGCGGTTTCGAGGATAAATCGACATAGTATAATTTCTCAATAGTCATGTTACTAGGATGAAGAACTTGTTGTGGGTGTTAAAAGGGCACTTTTATCAATTTATGTAATTTGCTAATGGAACATGAGTTTTTAAAATACGAGCCTCGTAAGCGGATGCATCCGCAAGAGTTAGGGATGATAATGAGTTCGGATAAATTTAAGATCTGACCCGATCTGGACCGACTTATTTATTTGGAGTAAGGTCCAATTATTTGGATATACAAAATTTCAAATTTATTAATCGAGTGTTTTCAGACTTTCAATTGTATTACACAAAGTGCCGAAGTAAAATCTTTGGCCCTAGCTCTATTGTCTGTCGATCTTTTCGCTGCACTCACCGTTGCAAGCGTGTAATACTCTCAATTGACTCATACTAAAAATGTTACCATCATACTACATTGTGAGGTTGTCACCTTCTACTACGGGTCTTACAATACGATGTTAATGATAAAAGTAATTATAAAACATTTTATTAGCTTACACACAAATTAATTTCCGAATACTTGCAAAAACCCACTCCTAAATAGTAGATTTTTCCGATTAATAATTTGAATATAATACATAATAACAAGTTCACTCACTTAGTCCCCCTTTCTCAAAAAGCATCGTGCATACTTATGAATCATTTTTTTTTAATTAAAAAGGGCCTAGAGTTAAATTTATTTAAGAATTAAATATAAAAAACTATATTAAAAATATTTATATAAATAAATAAATAATGCGTGTTTTTTATATTAATATTAAAAATTTTAATTTACTATTTATATTATAATTGTGTATAGTAAGAGGTGTAGGTCAGCCAATCTTAGTAGTTGGAAGAAAAAAAAATATATATAATTAAAGAATAGATAAAATATGTGTAAATTAATCTGAAATATTATTGATTTGACAATACTTGATTTAACATATTGTTTGAAAATGCATAAATGCTGATCAAATCAACATTATGGTTAATTTGATCTGATTAACATATCACTTAAAAATATATATTTTTTTTTTCTTTTTTTTGCATAATATATCATATATTTTGTAATGTTATAAAATATTATATATTGAGTTATAACATAACATAGATAGTATTGTAAATATGCTATAATACTATATAATATATATTGATTAGAAATCAAAATCAGGTTGATTTAATTGAATTAGTAATCCACAACCTATTTGAAAAAGTTTAGAAATTTATACTCACACTTAAATTGAATATGTATGGACACATTTGCAATTGTAATTATGACCTTTTTTTTATGTAAAAATGAAATAAATAGAGCAAAAATTATTTTTGATCTCATTCAATATCATAACGATCAATTTTGGTCATATTAAATTTTTGTTATAAATTTTGATCTTATCAAATAAAAATTTATCAATTTTAGTCGCACAATGGTTGACTATGACTGAACATGATCATATTAGATGACTCATAAAGGTGACTGAGCGTTCTAGAACGCCAACACGGCCCGTTGATTACACACTGAACATTGCCGTGTTCATACTCATGATCACGGCCATGTTCTGAACACGGTTGTGTTCCTGCCCGTGTTTATGCTCATGTTTCGAATATAGTCATGTTTCTGCCCATATTCACGATTATGCTTTCAATACAGTCATATTTTAGGCCATGTTTTCATTAAATCATATTTATTATTATCTTCACTTTTTTGTTAAAATTATTTGATATATATTTATAATTCAACAAAACTATTTTTTACTGTATCAAATAATTACCATATTAAAAACATGGGTAGGAACACAACCCTAAACACGCGTGTGTTTAGTCTTAGTCTTACAATCTTAGTCTAACTATCATTCTTTTTTAGTATATATATTTTTTTCATATTGATTTACAATTTTATTTTATCATTCATGCAATTTTCAATAAATTCTAACTTTATGTATTCCGCATTCAATTTTCCGCCGCTCCATTCTTTCTCAAAGAGGTTGAAAATTCTTAAAAATAATTAATTCTAATTTTTAAGGTAGATTGTCTGTGACAATTTTTTAAGATAATAATATGTCTAATACAATTTTTTATTTAAAATACCTTTATATTTACAAAACACAATTTCATTAATTTAATACTATTTATTTTTCAAAAAATATCACAACAAATATATTTTTTATCTCACAAAATATCAAATCAAATACTAATTTTTTATTTTATTTTATTTTATTTTTCCAAACTTAAAATTTCCAAAAACTCGTATATGAACAAACCCCAAGTATATCTCACATGTATGTACATACATACATACATGCATACATACATACATACATATATATGTAAACGCAACAAAAACAAGACTACCGTTTGATATGATTTGTGTTTCGTTTCAACAGAGAAGAGAACGCATGAATCTGGGGGGTTCGACAGCTGCAGTGTATATCAAATGTAGGGTTTCGAGAGACCAGATCGATCCTGAGGAGAGTACAACCGTAATTATGGTTTTGTTGTGATTTAATGCTCGGGATTGTAGCTTCGATTTTTCAACGCACGCGAAAGCAGTGGCCATGGAACTATTCTTCTTTGCTTTGACTCGATTCAGTTAATCTGAGGCTGGGTATTTTACATGCGCGCACAGTAATGGGGGTAACAGTGCGAGGTTCGGGACCCTTTTCAATCATGCCTTCCTATATTCGTCCATTACCTGGAAATGAAATGTAGGACCAAAGCGATGGGGCTATGTATGTACATATGCTGTTTACGTATGTATTGAGTCTATAGATGTCCATTTCCTAGAAATGTAGGGCCAGGAAATATGTGTGAATGTGTCTATATATACACACACACGATTAGATCCAGGAGAAGACAGAATCTACGCTACCATCGTGTCTGCTTTGGCCAGAGAAAGACAATTTTCAGTTATGATGCTCTTATTTGAGATTTTTCATTTCCTTTTGTTATTGTGGTTTTACTAAATTGTTTGAATTAGTTCGTTGTGTGATCTGTTTTCAATGTAATGTTTTAGCTGAAAGGGTAGTGATTGTGTGATTGTTTCTGCTATTCTATGAGATGTTTGTTTGGTGTTGTTGAAAGCAGTGCATGAGGTTATAGGCTTTTGAAGGGTGTCAGTTTGTCGAATTTGTTTCCTGCTTTGCCTTCGGTAATATAAGAATGTAGTTCGATTTGCAATATTATAAAAACAAGGAAACAACAGAATATTAATTGGCTTCTTGACGATTAAATTTTCATTGTACACATTTTTTATAAGGGAGAATTAAACCTAAGTACTTTGGAGCTATCGTGCAATTTAATTTATGAACATGCAGGTGAATCAAATGAGCTATACTAGAAGTCATAAAACAATTTAGTATAAATGAGTTGTAGTGCAATGGTTCTTGATTTTGAATGGTTTATGCCTTAATGCATGTATCATGTGTAGTTGATGAATTGGAACTGACATGAGAGTGATTTCGAATAGTTGTTGGTTTTGATCTTTAGAGAAAGATAACCAAAGCAAGGTTTTATTAAGCTAACTGCCCTTTGTGTGTAAGAAATGTATATTTGGATCAACTTTTTAATATGTGGGATTGATTCCTAGCCAATTTATCTTTGGTTACCAAAATTTAACACAATGGAAGGATTAGTGTTGTGCCTTTGTTTGAATGAAAAGAACTATCAACTTACCATAGCTGTTTTGCTCTACAGACGATTTTGAGTGAAGTTTCTCATGGTAGATCTCATGGACGGAAGTCAAGCCACTGACATGTTTCTCCCGGGTGCGAATTTCCAATTTGATAGTGTTCATAATGTTTGTGAAAGTAAATCATTTATACCGATTTTGCTTTGCACCGGAAGGTCCGCATGGAGTTGTGTTAGATCATTTTACCTGTCCTCTAAAACATATCTCTATGCAGTCAAGTTCTCTAGATTGCATTTCATTCTGCCATTTGGTGATTTACAGCCCCAATCCATTTGGTTTTATTGTCTTTGTCATGCAAATTATCGCATGGCCAATTGAGGCTGTAGGCTGTAACTTGCTGCTTATTTTATGGATAGTTCACAACATATCATTCATTCCCTCAATTTGTTCTAATTTTCATCACAGCCTTTTCAAATGATGCCCTGCACAAAGAACTTTGGCATGCCTGTGCTGGTCCCTTTGTTTCAGTACCACAAGAAGGGGAACGTGTTTATTACTTCCCTCAAGGCCACATAGAACAGGTTGGTTTGCTTTCTAATATATTTGCTAGATCATAAAACCTTCTATAGCTCATCTTTTGAGCTTTATTCCATGGATAATCAGATACATCTTTTATTTTTTCATACAATATGTTTCTTTGGGCTGTCAATTAGTTCTATATAATATTTTTTACCCACTATAAGTTATTTTGAATGTGTGTTTTTGTATAGCTTGAGGCATCTATGAGTCAGGGATTAGATCAGCAACTTCCTGATTTCAACTTACCCAGTAAAATCCTATGTAAAGTGATCCATGTTCGACTCCGGGTATGTATGGCTTCTTGAGATCAATCTAGTGAATTCACCTTCTTAGATTACTTATGACAAAATTCCAATTTTATTTGATGATGTTAACCTGTTCGTTCACGTAGGCTGAAGTGGATACCGACGAGGTGTATGCTCAAATAACTCTTCTTCCTGAACAAGATGTAAATTATTCCATTACCCCAACTTGATCTGAAATTTATCAACATATATATATATATGCATATATGTTAATGCATCATTCATTCTGTTGTATTAACTGTATCAGCAAAATGAGATTACAACTCCAGATCCCGCGGTACCTGAACCCCAACGATGCTCCGTCAATTCATTTTGCAAGACTCTTACTGCATCTGATAGCAGCACCCATGGGGGCCTTTCTGTTTTACGAAGACATGCTATTGATTGTTTGCCGCCATTGGTATGACATAAGATCTTAGTGTATCTACCTGTATTTCATGTCTATCTCTAATATCTAATATGAACTTCCTTGACTTGCAGGATATGACTCAACATCCACCCTGGCAGGACTTGGTAGCCACAGATCTCCATAACAATAAATGGGTGTTCCGCCATATTTTCCGAGGTCATGATCTTACTGTACTTGGATCTGTATAGTGTGTAATGATTTAGTTCTAGTTTTCTTTCAGTCCTTTAAACTGACATCGGTTGATCACATTTAAGGTCACCCAAGGCGCCACTTACTAACTACTGGATGGAGTGCTTTTGTTAATACAAAAAATTTAGTTGCAGGAGATGCTGTAATCTTCATAAGGTATTTCTTTCTTGTGTGGATCATATACATATATGTATGTTTTCTGTTGCTATATCAAAAGCTGTTTAAAAATCACGATTAAATCATTGCAGAGGAAATGGCGAACTTCGAGTTGGAGTTAGGAGGCTTGCAAAACAGCTCAAGTCTATGCCATGTTCTGATATATCGAATCAGACTATGCTTTTGGGGGTTCTTGCAACCGCAAAACATGCTGTCTCCACCAAAACCATCTTTTCAGTTTTTTATAAACCAAGGTTGCCTTTGCCTGCCCATCTTCCTGTCTTCGTAACCGAGATTTTTGCAATACTAGACTTATTTTGATATCTTCTTTATGTGTCTGCAGGATGAGTAGATCAGAATTCATAGTAAGTTTGAACAAGTATCTCCAAACTCAAAATAGGCGGCTTCCTGTCGGCACAAGGTTTAAGATGAGATTTGAGGGCAAAGAGTTTCTTCAAAGAAGGTATCAATACAATCATACTTGATTTTTGTCATTTTCGGATTTGAAATATTGATCATAACCGGTGCCACTTAATTTGTCCAGGTTCAGAGGGACAATCATTGGCGTCGGGGATACATCTTCCCTGTGGCCTGATTCAGAGTGGAGATCATTAAAGGTGGTTACTTACTACTTACTAGTTGAATATAAATCGAGCATTTTTCACTTGCAATGTAATGAATCTTCCTACTTGCTCGATTTGATTCTTGGTTGCATCCAGGTCCTGTGGGACACACCTTGCGCAGCACTGCATCCATACAGTGTATCGCCATGGGAGATAGAGCCGCTTGCAGCTGGAGCTCCTCCAAACTCATGGACTCAACAAGGAAAGAAGCGTGCATCACCGGACGAACAATCTTTGCACAGTAAGCATATCCTTTTAGCAATAAAATGAAATGGAAGAGTCGAGGTGAGGTGATTTATAAAGCTGTTATTTGGATGGGGTCCAACAGGTTCCGGGTATCCTTCAGTCCAATCACCACCACCATTTTTGTACAACGATTCTTCTTCAATCAGTCGCAACCACCTCCATCAAACGCCAGAGATATGTTTGAGCACTACGAATTTGCTTCTGGATTCGAGCAATCGTGCATTGGAAGCTGCTTCCGAGTCTACTTCTCCTGTTAGTAAAAAAAGGCGGGTGAATCGCTGCAGGCTGTTCGGTGTTGATTTAGTTAACTGCCAAACAGAGGAAGGTGAGGAATCTCTAGCTTCCCAAGATTCTGACTCTGGAGAACATTACGAGTCATCGTTGGATTATTACAATGTTTCGAATATTCCTTCCCAGAGTGATACTGAGCAGGGCCGTCTCTGGGCCCGGGCGACCGTCCAGGGCCTAATTTAAATTGTAGCCCATTATTTATTTATGTTATATATAAATTATTTGACATTAATATATTAATACAAAAGTATTGCTTAGTGGTTAAATTCTATAAATATTTTTTTATGCATTAAAAGGAATCAGACAAAGTTAATATTAATAGTATTATTGATATTTTGCATATAAAAATATTAAAAACTTTATTTTATTTAATTATTTATATTTTATTATAGATTAAAAAAGATATATTATTTATACTGGCCCTAATTTTTGTTTTAACATTGTTAATATTAATACTATTATTGATATTTTATCTAAAACTTCTGAAAAATTATTTTATTTAATAAATTATATTCTATTATAGGTAAAAAAAATCGAAGTAGATCATTTATATATATTTAGGGGTCTTTTATTTTTGTTTTAATTATTTTTTTGCACTAAAAAGATAATAAATATTAGACAAAATTATTATTATTATTAGAAAAAATTATCAATAACTCGTTTATGATTTTAAAATTTGTAAATCCTTATATACTTTAAAAATGATATGAACTACTTATACTTTAAAAAATATTAAATGAAACTCATTTTTATATTTTTTTGGTGATGAGAAGATGACTTTTCATCTATATTTTTTGCGACGATTTAATATAGCGTTTGTTAAAATATAAGGAGCGTTACGCAATTGTTAAAAATTATGCTAGAAAAAATATATATTTTTTATTATATTTTATTATAAGTAAAAATATTATATATATATATATTTAAGGGTCTTTAATTCTTATTTCGCCCTGGCCTTCGAAAGTCAAGAACGACCCTAATCCTGAGAGTCATGACTCCATGATTCAGACTAGCAGCAAAAAGCCAAGGATGTAGCAAGGTATGTATGTACGCTGTACACACACATTTGTATTGATCCAATCGAATCTGTCGAATCTGTATCTGTTGTGTGCACATAAAGGGTCTTTCACTACTGATCCTACAGGTTGTTCTTGGAAGACAACTTGATTGGTCGAGCAGTATCGAGTTTCGGACATGGCGGCCTGTGAGAGCAGATGAAGCCATGAAGCTTCCCAACAAGACAATTTTGTTCTGTCATGCTGCTGATGGATCACTCATTCTTCTGTCAAATGTGTCAATATATATATATATAATCAGAAAATAAAAAATGTTTAGGTAGAGCCGTAGAGGGGAAGGGATGCTTTTTGATCCTGTCTTAGTACAAAATTACAATCTTATATATATATAATGTAAGAATTTGCAGTTTTTACCGTGGGTTCTAGGTAAAGTCTGGTCGAATCAATACCTTACAAACTAGTTTGACAAAATAAAACATACTAGGCAAACCATACGGTTATAAGTGGATCTGGAGGGGTCGAATTTGAACTCATAACTTCACAATTACGAATTCGTCCCACATCACCGCCTTGTCGGTAATAATGTTCAAGTTTGATTGCATGCCATATGGTTATTAAACACTAAGAAACGATGTTTCTTCTCCTCGATTTCGGCATATTTTTATTGTATAACTATTGTTTGACCTGAAGTGGAAGCGACAATATAAAATATAAAAATAAATATTTGATTTGATATTTTAAAAAAAAAATTATATAAATAGTAAAAGTTCTGTGAAATCATGTGAAAGAACAAATTTAATTTATTTTCATAAAATATAACTACAAAATTTCTTCAATTTATTCATAGAAATTATTGATAATAATTTGAAATAAAGTTATATAAAAATACAACTCAATTTTTTTATTTCTTAATTTTATTTTTTTTAATTTTTTTTTTACAAAAAGAAATTGTTATATCAAAATCCTCCAAATTCAAACCAAATATACAAATATAAAGAAACACAACTATTTAAACTCATTTTAAAATTCAAATATAATTCAATCTAAACTCAAACTCAATTTTCCTAAACTTCATAAAAAATAAAAAATAAAAAAAAAAACTAAATATTTTTCTAATACATAATCTTGTTTTATAATAACACATATGATCATAGTTTTTGTATTTTTTAAACTTAATTGAAAAAAAAAAAACACTAAGTGTTTTTCTAATACATAGACTTGTTTTATAACAACATATGATCATAGTTTTTGTATTTCCTAAACTTAATATAAAAAAAACACTAAATATTTTTCTAATACATAGTCTTGTTTTATAACAACATATGATCATAATTTTTGTATTTCCTAAAATTAATCGAAAAAAAAAACACTAAGTGTTTTTCTAATACATAGTCTTATTTTATAACAACATATGATCATAGTTTTTGTATATGAGACTTTGTAGACATATTGCCTTGTATCCGGAAATATAGTTTAACACATGATTGTATTTTGTAAAATTTTGAATGCTTTTGGTCTTATCTGTCAGACAAGATTCGTCTAGTATGTCTTTTATTGAATTAAATTTGTAAGTTATTCGATGTAGCTGAAAAAATTATTCAAAACTTACTCTTATTATTTGTTTTTATTTTTTTTTTTTATGATTTTCTTGTATTATTGTATCTAAGTGGAGGGTATTATTTTATTTAAGTAAAAATTTAGAATTACTAATAAAAAATAAAAATAATCAGATTAATTTTGAACATGACAAAATAAATGAAATGAAGCACATTATTTTTTTCTAATGAAACAACATAAACTATTCACCCTTTGAATAAATTTCCAAGCAAGGGAAACATTCAAACATGCAATAGTAAACAAAATGACTATAATACCCCTGCAGCGTATGAGGCATATTTTAAAATGCAACGGTCAAAAAATCAGAACCAAAAAAGGGTAAGCCCTTTTCTCAACGGCTACAAGAAATCCCACAGACACAAAATTCATACTTACAAACAGCTCCCGTTACATTACATATACACACACTGATATACATATATACATATATATACATATCTAAGTGTGTCTAAGTTCAGCAAAAATGAAGGTGATGAAAGCCATGAAGAAGCTCAAATTCTGGCCCCGCAGACCCAAGAAGAAAAAAGTGCATCCACCGTACTCCCCGCCACCACCGTCGCGGCCGCCGCCGCCGCCGCCGCCGGCGGTGCTGTATAATTACGAGGAAGACAGCCCGTACGAGGCACTTCTGCCGTCAGCCCCACCGCTGCCGCCATGGATGGAGTATGAATATGAGTACGATGAGTACCAGGTGCATTTTGAAGAATCTGAATCAGAATCAGAAGGCAAGTGCAAGACAATAGTAAAATCTCCTTCAGCTTCAGGTAATTCAGGGACATTAATAATATCAGAATCCCAAATATCTCCCTCTCCCTGTGATGATGATGATGAGGTGAAGAAAGGCGGTCCTGGTCCTGGTCCTGGACCTCGTGAGTGTGGATTTGGATGGGGTATGGCTATGATGAGGAGGTTTGGGGCTCGCGTGTTGGGGTGTGTGTTCCCTTGTTTGACTTTGAGGGAACGATCGTCTTCTCAACAGCCACCACTTCTTCTTTTCTGAAATGAATTCATTTTGTATCTATCTATATATATATATATACACACATATCTTGTAAGTAAGGCTACATTGATCATCTACAGGTTCTTGAAAAAGATACCAACTGAATTGGGATTTAGAACAGTTTAATTAATTGATTTATTAATCATATTTGATATTTTATATTTAATCGAGATATATATTAATTTGATTATTTTAGATTATTTTATCTAATTAAATTAATCTTAAATTGTGTGGCACATATTTTTTTTTTTCATTAACTCCGTCGCGTTGAAAATTTAGGTGAAAAATGACAAAAAAACAAGTTTAGGTTATTAGATCCACTTTCAGATCAAAAAAATCGTGATGGTTTTTCTTTTAATTATAAAAGTAATAGCATCGGTGTAATATATTGTAAGTTAAAAGGATATTTATTACGTAGATAGTACAATTATTAAATTAAAAAATAATAACTTTATTTTGGGACCGAAGGAAATATAAAATAATAATATTTCAATGGGACAAAATGAGTATTTATACATATAAATATATAACTTTGACTAAGGAGCGTGAAGAGAGCTGATAAGCCATAAGGGGTTGAAGATCCCATTTCATTGATCAATTATACGTAAATTATGTATACTCACTTGCCCATTGATTTCTTTTTTATTTGGGAATTTTATATGGAAAGAAAATCTCAAAAGTGTGAATATTGGGCCAGTTAGTAGATTTAATTAGCGGATTTAATTATAACTCAAATTTATTTGAAAAAAAAAATTATTAAAATATAGAAATTTATTTAAGTAAATTCTATTCAAATTATATATATATATGTAAGGAGATGATGTGATCAAAATATTGTTATTAACATATAAAATTTGCATTATTTATAGTATGAATTTGTATTGTTTTTTTCTCTGGTATATATTAATACTATAGTTTGAAACTTTTTGTATAATATAAATAAAAAATAAATATTTAATTTTATGTTTAAAAAATTAAATAATAAAAGTAAAACTTCACAAATAAATATAAATACACCGCAAATATTCAAAAAAGAAAATTAAAATATTATAATGTAGAAAATTGATTTAAAAAGAAAAGGAAAACATCCTGGGAAATAAATTCCAAATATAAACGCACTTCTGTATCGGTTGTTGAAAGTAGGAATTATTGGCCGATGAAAATGACAGTCATGATTAACCCTACGAAAATAAATAAATAAATAAATAATAAATAAAAATAATCCCCCCCCCCCCCCCACCCCCACCCCCACTGAAAGCCCCACATCGCCCTCCCTGCCCTGCCCCTCTCTGCATCTTCAACCTCGCATAAATTCATCAATGGGCGATTTCTATTTCTTTGTGCTCTGCCCTATTCTCTAATTCATCTCAATCGCATCGGATTGCATTCCCCAAAACCACCGAATACAATTCCCAATTTGCTCCCGTTGATTGCCCGCCCCTTCGAATCATTCTGATTTTACACTGCCGGATCGGAGAAGCGCGATATTGATTGCTTATTGATTCGCGGCAGATTCCCCGGAAGAATTAAATATTCCAGACGCGGGTGGGAAGTCGATTGGGGTTTTGTTGGGTGGATTGGATCTCTCATGCACTACGACAACTATCTTCATTTTGCCCATAGGTTTTGCTGGCGCAATTTCATTGTTTATTAATTTAGTTGACTAGGGTTCGTTTTTTTCAACATTTGATCGATCTTCTCGAGAGCTGACGAAAGGGCGGTGGAAATAGCCCCAAAGAAGTCAGAGAACCGCGGCACGATTCAACAGCAGCTTCTGCTTCTTTGGAGGACGATTTTCTCAGCTGCGAGGAATAATTAATTTCAAAAATGGAAATGGAAAACGCCCGAGATACGAAAGGGAAATTTGCGAAAGCTAGGGCGAAAGAAGACGCGCTCTTTGGTTCTACAGGAGTGGCGGATTCGTCATTCCGGCTGCTGAAACTCGTCTCTGTATTGATCATTTTTGTTCTGGGTGTAGTTTTGGGATTGATCTCTGGTTCGCATGTCGATAGGTACTTCGATTTCCAGTTCAGAGGCAAGAGCGTGTATTTTAATCCTTTTCAATTTGGTCCGGCGAATGATGAGAGTATTGAGGTGAATTGTGGAAGGGATGAGTTGAAGAGCATGGACAGTTTCACAGGACTGCAAAATCTGAACCATGGTTTGACAGACGATCAGTTGTTTTGGAGGGCGACATTGGTGCCGGAGAAGGAGGAGTTTCCTTTCAGCAGAATGCCAAAAGTGGCTTTCATGTTCTTGACTCGTGGCCCAATCCCGCTGTTGCCGTTGTGGGAGAGGTTCTTCGCCGGGCAGGATGCGGATAAGTATTCCATTTTCGTGCATGCTCCGCCGGGATTTGAGCTCAGTGTTTCCGAATCATCAGTTTTCTATAGGCGCCAGATTCCAAGTAAGGTATAAATTTCTGTGGGGGATTATGCTTTTTGTGTGTTGATTGATTGTTGGTGTAAATTTGGGAGAAGGTCTTCGTGTTCTTGTCTATTATGATCTTGGTATATGCTAGGAATTGGCTTCGTCTTTGAGTTTTAGCAGATCAAATAAGTTTTTGGTATAACTTTTTATATTGATGGATACTAGGGGTGGATTGAGATGTGTCTTGAATTCAATTGGAAATCTGATCTAAACTGCTCGTTAGATGATCAATAGGGATTGATTTTTTGTTTTGTTGTACTCGTATGTCATTTAGATTATTCGTGAAACCTTATGCTTAGCATATCGACTATTCCAATGCTCGGTGGTGTATGAAGCTGAGTTCATATGAAGTACTTGTTTGATTCTTGTTAATCTAACATTGCCCGGTGTTCAAGTGTCGTAAGAAAGAGATTGTTTTCTCGTAAATTTAGCTTCCATTTTCACCTAGTTTGAAGCCCTTGTGTTCAAAAAGAACGAATTTGAGTATTATCTTTATTTGTTGAGAAATTGGTCGATTTTTCTTATTATTGTTTACCATTTTGATAGAATCGAAAAAAGTTGCTCTACGTGTGCATTGATTGAGCTTGTTGTTCTTCGTTCCTATTACAATGCAAATTCCGAATTCCGTTTCTTCTTAAACTCACAATCTTCTAACTATTTTCATTTGTTACCATTTCTATTTGGACTCACAGAGCGTCGCGTGGGGATCAGTGTCGCTGGTCGATGGAGAAAAACGGCTTTTAGCCAACGCCCTTCTCGACTACTCAAATGAGCGATTTGTTCTTCTCTCGGAGAGCTGTATTCCCATCTACGATTTCCCAACAGTCCACAAATACCTCGTGGAGTCCGCCCACAGTTTTGTCGAGTCATTCGATGACCCGTCCCGTTACGGCCGCGGCCGCTACAGCCGTTGGATGAAGCCCGATATCAAACTTTCCGAATGGCGAAAAGGCTCTCAATGGTTCGAGATGCAGCGCACCCTGGCTGTCAAGATTGTCGCCGACACCAAATATTACTCGATCTTCAGTAAATACTGCAAACCGTCGTGCTACCCGGACGAGCACTACATTCCAACCTACATACGTAAGTTCTATGGCTCCCTGAACTCGAACCGCACCATAACTTACGTCGACTGGTCGCTAATAGCGCCACATCCGGCAACATTTAGTGCCGTTAACATAACTGAAGGTTTCATGAACTCGCTTAGAAATAACGGCACAGCCTGCCGTTACAATTTCGGCGAAACGCCGATCTGCCATCTTTTTGCTAGGAAGTTTGATCCCAGTGCCTTGGAACCTTTGCTTAATATTAGCTCACAAGTTATGGGATTTTGATATGTTTTCGAATCTTTTCTTTTCTTGTTTTTGTTAGGGTTTTGATCCAGACTGTGTTTTGTGTTGTACAGTTTTGTTGGAGGGAAATTTTGGTATGTTTGTTGGTAGTTTGCAGAGTTTGTGGTTTTTTGAGGATGGAAATGAGATACACCATACCAATGTTATTGACCTTATTGTATGTACATTTTACTATAAATGTTCCTTAATGGCATATTATAGAAAATTTATTAAATTATTTATTTCAATAAAAAATTGGTTATTATGTATTAAATAAAAGTAATAAAACTATAAATAAAAAAACTTATTTACTAAATTATGCATAAATTTACAATAAATTTTTTTAACATAACTGTAGAAGATAGAAAGTATTTATATTTATATATTTCATCCGTACCAGAACTATAGTCTGAGTTGGGTTTGACACGAAATGTAAGAAATATTGATATTGGGTAAAAAGTATGGATAAAATTTTTTTGTCCGAGTGTATTAGTGTAAAAAGTAGTGGCAATTGCGTAATAATAATAAAAAAAAATAAAAGTAATTTTATAGTGATATGATATTGTTTTGATACGCACAGTAGTGTTGTATTGGAACAAAGATCATTTAAATTATACTGTTAATATAATAATATAGTCAGATGAGTGTGTAAAATTTTATGAAATTAATCCAAATATTTATGTTTTATGTAAATTATAGAAAATAATGATTATGTTTAAGACATTAATTTTTTTAAATATATTAATTTCTTTTTTTAAAAAAATACACGTCAATAAATAAATATTGTTGAAAATAAAATAAAATACAAAAGAAAAAATGTAGAGAAAATTAGGAGTAATATAATAAATAAATATAAATGAAGGGTTTAAGGCTTTCGTTCGAGTAGTCAGTCAGTCAGTCTAGGGTTTGTAATCGCCGTTAACCATGGCTGTCTCCTCCGCCCTCACCCGTCTCTTCCTCCGCCGTCGACCTTACTCCACCAACTCCTTCCCCTTCCCCTACTCCGCCGCGCAACACCACAACCACAACCACTCTCATCCTCCTTCCCCTTCCGATGCTGCAGCAAACTACCAACATCCCAACGCCGCCGCTCCCCACCCCCAATTCAATCCTCAGTACCCTCCCCCCGCCGCCGATCCCCGATATCCCGGCGCCGTCCCAGCCACTACCACCGCCGATCCCCGATATCCCGCCGCCGCCGCTCCTTCCGTCGATCCCCAACACCCTTCCGATGCTCCCCCGAACCAATCCTACTACAGCGTACCAAATTACCATTTCAATCCCCAATCCCCGCCGGCGCCGCCGCCCTCCCAATCGTCGTCGAATTATCATCCCAACCCTCAGTTCTCCGCCGCCAACAACCAATTTCAGTTCCCCAACACCTCTGCCCCCAACAACACTTTCCAATTTCCCGGTTCCTCTTCCACCACCGCACCCCCCCAGCGCTCGTACGGCTTCTCCTCAGCAGAGGAAGCCGCCGCCGAGCGTCGCCGCCGCAAGCGGAGGCTCCGAATCGAGCCTCCACTGTTCGCCCTCCGCCCCAATCCTCAAACCCCTCCGCCCAACCCTGACAGCTCCGACCGGCCCCGCCTACCTGACTCCACCTCTGCGCTCGTAGGCCCTCGCCTGAACCTCCACAACCGAGTCCAATCCCTAATTCGCGCCGGCGACCTTGATGCCGCCTCATATATAGCTCGTCAGTCCGTGTTCCAGTACATCCGACCCACCGTCTTCACCTGCAATGCTATAATTGCCGCCATGTACCGTGCCAAGAGGTATAGCGATGCTAAAGCACTGTTTCAATACTTTTTCCGGCAGTTTAATATTATACCAAACATTGTCTCGTACAATAATCTCATTGTCTCGCACTGTGAGTCCAATGAGGTAGACGAAGCCCTAAAAGTATACGAGTATATTCTTGAGAATGCCCCCTTCAGCCCTTCGGCTGTCACTTATCGACATTTAACGAAAGGGCTTATTGATGCTGGGAGGATCAATGATGCTGTAGGGTTGCTTAGGGATATGTTGAACAAGGGCCATGGTGCAGATTCTTTGGTGTACAATAATGTGATAAATGGATTCTTGAATTTAGGCGAACTAGATAAGGCGAACGAGCTGTTTGATGAGTTGAAGGAGCGGTGCACGGTGTATGATGGGGTGGTGAATGCTACATTCATGGATTGGTTTTTCAATCAGGGGAAGGCGAAGGAGGCAATGGAGTCTTATCGGGATTTGATGTCCCGGAATTACAGAATGGTGCCTGCGACAAGAAATGTGTTGTTGGAGACGTTGTTGAGGCACGGGAGAAAGAAGGAGGCATGGGATTTGTTCCATGACATGTTGGATGACCACACGCCGCCGACTTTTCAGGCGGTGAATTCTGAAACCGTTAATATGATGGTGAACGAGTGTTTCAAGGAAGGGAAGGTTGATGAGGCAATTGATGTTTTCAAGAGGTCTGGGAAAGGGCAAAAGTCGAAGCCTTTCCAGATGGATGTTGCTGGATTTAATAACATGATGTTAAGGTTGTGTGAGCTCGACATGATGGATGAAGCCGAGCAGTACTACAAGCAGTTATGTGACAAAGCATTACCGGCAGACGTTAACACATACTCAACGTTGATAGATGCATATATTAGGCTAGAAAAAGTCGACGATATGTTGGAGAAGTTCACCAAAATGGTTGAGGCAGGTTTAAGGGTTATCACTCCTCGTGCCAACAAGTGGTTTGGGTTCTTGATTGAGAAGGCCCGGGCCTCTGATTGCCTATCTCTTCTGTCCAAAATGCTTGATAAGGAACCAAAACCAGACGTAACCACTTGTGATGTCGTGATTAGGGGCCTCATCAAGGAAGGAAATTTTGATGCCACAACTAATTTTTTGAGAGAGATGACAAGCCATGGAATTGGCATGACTGCTTCGCTTAAGGAATTTCTTTTTGATGCTTTTGAGAAGTTAGGGCGACGGGCAGAGATAGAGAGTATTCTGAACAGGCTTTCAGATCCCTATTCACCTCAGAGACAGCCATACTTAGGACAACAAGGTCCCCAAAGAGTCGAAAGGAGGGCTGAAATGGCAGCACAAGGAGGAAGAAACCCCTCGATGCCATGGCAGTCAGGGGGGTCTTCTACACAAATGTCATATGCAAATCAACATACAGGACAGACATATCAACCCCAAATGACCTACCAGAATCCCGTGCCAGAGCAGGATGCAGAACTTCCACGCATTGCAGGTCATGCTGGTTCTTAATTTATTTGAGAATTTTTACTATCTATCATCGGTTAGTTCTTTTTTTGAAGAATTGATGATCCAGGCAGTGTTGATTTATAGGTTTGTGATCATTGCTGTCAATTGCTGTTGTTCACCTATTATTAAGTGATTATTATGACCACATATACATGAAATTTTGAAGGGTTATTTTTATAATTCTTGAGGTGTGACGAACCAATTTTAACATTATTTATAATGATGATAAATTCATAATTAATTGCAATGATCAAAGCTTCTGTAAGGTAGTTGTTTGGCAGTCATAATGTGTTTTTATTTATTTATTTATTTTAATTTAATTCCTTGTTCTTCACAAGACTGCTATGTTATAGTAGTATTATATAATGATGTTGCATTTCAGGATGTTGATTCAATTATGTGATTTTGTGGTTGGTCTCATGTTATTGAATCTTGTGGTCAACTATTTAAGCATATATTGCTAGATTGGTTGAAATGTTCTTTAGAATTATATATTTAGAATTACAAATCTCAACCCCCTTTATGCTGTATTTATATAACATAAAAAAGATGTTGATAATGTTCTCTGAAGTTGTGATTACTTAGTGAATTTGTTGATTATTTGTTGTTTGGTTGAATGTTGCAGTAATAGATGAGAGTTTAGCCAAATATTATACTTTATTTTTTTCTCTAAATTTGTAATGTTCTTGTATTTTACTTTCTGTATCCTCTGAAATACATGACAATGTTGTTTGAGATCTTTATATGTCTCCATTTCATACATACAACATATTAATTTTGCTATTATATTCTTTGCCTCCAAGTTTATTATCTAATTGAAATGATTAATAATTGACGCTGATATTTTACATATTAACACTAAAATATAAATATTGGAAATATATTTTTTGTTATCTTAACCATCCCATGACAAATTATATTTAGTACTGAATATTTAAGTTCAATATATATATATATATATATATTTAAGCATACTATTGAGTCAAGAAGAATTATTCATATATATATATATATATATTTTAAAGTTACCTAGTGGAAGGTTTCTCCAAATGGGAGATGCTCCACCGATGTGCTTGTTCTAGTATTTAAACTTTGCACGACATTTCTGGTGAAACAAATGAAAACAAAATATTGCACAAAGCAGGAGAAGATGTAAAGAACATAGCACAGAATTAATCAGTTTTCCTCTATTGAATGAAAGATAGAATGCATACATTATATATACTACAAACTAACCTTATATATACTACAAACTAAACTATTCTAAGCCGTACAAACAAATCAAATTTAAACTAATGAAATATAACAACCTAACAAACAAATCAATGTTTGTTAAGGAGAAGATGAGGACCAATGAGATTGTGATCTTGTGTACAAATGTGCACTAAATCAATCCACAACTCACATCCGTTGCATAGAATACATGGACATTCTTTTATGTTTGTCTTGACATAGATACGAAGATAAGCTGTCATGATCTTCATCTATTGTCAACATAGCCCAACAAACTGCAGTGGAAGAAAGTTCAAGTGAAGTTTAGACTTAAGAGAATGGAAATGAGCACTTGGCAGGTATTTCGTGAACAAATCAACCGGTTGCACAACAAAGGATATGTAGACTAGTTGAATGAATCCTTTGGAGAAGTGACCACGAATAAAATGACAATCAATATCTACACGCTTCGTATGTTCATGATGAACAAGATTTTGGATCATGTGGATGGCACAAGAGATTTGTATCTGGAAATCATTAAGGAGGTATGAGATCCACAAAAGATCAGTCACAATCCGAGGATTTTGCAACTGTAGATAGTTTCTTTGTTCGCCAAGAGTTCATACAATTTTCAAGGAAAATACAATAACTAGTGGTGAAATTTTTTGCGATAATACAATTGTCCCAGTCAGCATCACAAAAGGCAGAGAGAGAAGAGCAATCACCTTGGTTGAAAAACAGTTGGAAAGAAAAAGTATCCTTGAGATATATCAGCAATCTTGAGATTGAGAGATGTAGGAGTCTGCATGAATTAAGACAATTGTTGAACAGTGTTCCTAGGCATGGTTAAGTAGAGCAGCCGACCAACCAATCTCCTAAAATGACCAGGGTTGAAGTGATTCTCCTCCATCGGAAGGCATCTTCACACCCGGTGGTAAAGGAGTATAGCAGGGATTACGATCCTGCATATGCTCTTCATTGAGAATATCAAAAAGATATTTTGTTGAGAGATGTAGAGGCCATGTGAACTTTGGGTGATCTGGAGCCTAAGAAAATAATCAACATCACCCAGGTCTTTACAATAAATTCAGAGTGAAGAAAGCACCTAACCTCCTGTATAGTGGAGAATGATTACCAGTCAGGAGAATATGATCCACGTAGACAATAAAAACAGTGAACTGATGGCCATTTGTCTTAAGGAATAAACAAAGATCATGAGTTAATTGAAGGAAACGAATCGAGAAAGATAACCTCTTTGTAACATTGTCGTGGAACCTTTTTGAGACCATACAAACATTTGCCCAATTTGCACACCAATCTAGGAGGGTGATTGTAGCCTTAGGGTGCCAACATATAAATCTCTTCATCCAAGTGTCCATGGAGGAAGGCATCGTTGACGTCTAACTGATGGATATGCCAATGTTTGGAGGCTGCTATAAGAACATGAACTCTAACGGTTATCATTTTTGCAATAGGTACAAAAGAATCAGTGTGGTCCACCCCAAACTGTTGAAGAAACCCCTTAGCTACCAACCGAGCTTTATATTTATGAATGGAGCCATCAGCATCTTGATGTTGTAAACTCATTTGCAACTGATAGGACGTTTTCCATGAGGTAGAGCAACCAAATGTCAAGTTTGATTTCTTTCAAGAGCAGAAAGCTCTTTTTTCATAGCTTGCCTTCATGGTTCACTTTTACTAGATGGTGATAAGAAGTAGGTTTCCGGAGTGTGAAAGTTAGTGCATCATGCCAAATAGTATGTTTAGTCTTATGGATAGTGGGGGAAATATAATCTTGAAAATATTTGGGATGGGGAGTTGTCGGACTCTAATGGATCTAGGAGGTGGTGTATTTGAAGGTTGTGGAAGGATTAATGGTTCTTGTGTAGAGGACTAGTCAGAGTGATCAAGTTGAGAAAAGAATGTTAATTCTGAGGAGACCTATTGCCAAGATGGTGAAATATGAACAACAGGTGATTTATAGGTAGGATCAAGTCCAAAGATAGGAGGTACATTGGTCTGACCAGCGCTGGAAGCATGAGGTTCATCAATAGGATCAGGGGTGAAGACAGAACGTGCAGGAGTATTAAAGAAACTAAGGACATGATCAGAAGTTATAGAACAATGAGGAGAAGTACCTGAAAGTGTTGAGGAACTTGATTTCTGTTGATGATCTTGTGATTGCTTTGCCTAAGGGAATGCATCTTCATAAAACACTACATCCCTGGAAGTAAAGAAAGTGGAGGTATCAAGGTTGTACAATTTGTAAGCCTTTTGGGATGAAAAGTTTCCAAGGAAGAGGAATTTAAAGGCTTTTGGGTCTAGCTTGGTTTTAGCAGGGAGAGTGTTGGTAACATAACAAAGATAGCCAAAAACTTTGATGGAGGAATAGTCAGAGAGTTTAGAGTATGGAAGTTCAAAAAGAATTGTTTATGATAAATGTGGAATATAGAAGGGCTTCCCTCCAGAATTCTTGAGGTAAATTGGTTTGGAATAGTAAGGACTTAGTTACTTGGAGAAGATATTTGTGTTTCCTTTCAATCCTTTCATTTTGTTGAGAAGTGTAAGGACAAATAAGCTAATGTTGGATGCCGAGACTCTAGAAGAAAGTTTGGCAGTTTGTACTGAGGAATTCAATACCATTGTCATATTTAATGGATTTGTTAGTGGGTTTGAACATACTTGACAAATGCCTCAATGATTTGGAAGAGATTAGCCTTAAGAATGGATTAAGAAAGTCCATACATTTTTGGTGTGATCATCTACAACTGTTAGAAAATACTTGCAATTATTTAAGGTGAAAACACTATATAGACCCTAAAGATCCATGTGGATAAGCTGAAAAGGAAAAGTGGCATGAGAGTAACTTTTATTGAAATACATAGGAATTTGTTTAGCCATGTGGCATACATCAAAAGATAGATGGGAGAGGACTTCAGCACTCGGGTGTCATACCCTAAGGTGCCACGGCTGGTCAAATTGAAGTTTGGGTGTGGAGAGTGTATAATGGAATCCAGTGAGTAAATAGAGATGATCCTTCTGCAAAGCAACCCTAAGAACTTCCTCGGAACTTTGGTCTTGTAGACCACATTTGTCATGGAAGAATTTTAATGTTAGTTTGGAATTATTTGCTATGCAACTCACAAAAATTAAGTTGAATTTTAATTTAGGCATGTAATAGACATTATAAAGGGCAAAAATAAGGGTAATTAGGACTCAAGCTAATAAATTCAGGGTGGCATATTGTGCCATTAGGAAGACAGACTCCTGCATATGAAGAGATTGGTTGTAAAGATTAAAACAGAGACTTATCAATACATATGTGGCATGATGCACCTCTATCTACTAACCGGAACTTGTTGATCATATCTCTTGACAAATTCTAATGAATACTACCTGAATATTCAATCATTGAGTTTGCAAATGAGACGGGATCTCTGAGGTTGCCACAATCTTTTTCAATTCAGCAAAAAGGGATTGCACATCGACTTTTGAAGAGGTGTCTGAAGGAGTTCCATCATGTTCTGGAACAACAATAGCGTTAACTTGAGTCCTTTTCTTTTCATTCATCTCTCTAAATCAGTTTGGAACACCATGTATTTTTTTAAGCATGTCCCCTTTGTATGCCCTTTCTTTTACACACCTCGCAGATCTGACTCATTTTGTCAATGAGCATTTTCATCTTGTCATTTCTCTTAAAGTTGACAGCAGGTTGAGTGACTCGGTTAGTTTGTTGATGGACAACATTAAAGGCCTTAAGATCCACAAACACAATAGGAGTGTTTTGCTTCTCAATTTGGAGTAACATAGCAAATTCCTTACTGACTGTTGGAAGATGATCCATCATCAGGATCTGGTTTTTGATAGGCTGATAGATTTCATTCAGTCCGGTCAAGAATTGAACAAGGTAATCCCTATCATAAATTCCTGCTAACATTTTGTTTGTCACATCTAACACTTGCCGCACTTACATTTAGCTCCAAGTTCAATTATGCGCAGCTCATCGATCAATTTTTCCAATTTGGTGTAATACATTGTTAGCATATCACTTCCCTGTTTGAGATCTGCTATTTAAGCTTGCAACAGGTTGATTAATACTCCATTGGCCTGGCGAAATTTTCCTTTGGCCCAAAGCCATAACTACCTAGTAAAATTAATATAAATGAAGTCTTCTTGCATGTTGGCGGAGATAGAGTTGCGAAGCCAAGATCTGATCATAGTATCACATACACGCCATTGATTGAATTCAAGTGTTCATTCAGGAGGTTTAACTAGGGTTTTATCTATGTACCCCCACTTCAGATTTTGTCATTAGAGTTATTTCTATATTAATATTCCAAGAAAGATAATTGGAGTTTAACTGATGTAGAGCCATATTTGGATGTTCTTCAGCACCCAAAAACAAGGTAGGGTTGGGAGAAGATCCATGGTTTGTGGTACCCTGTGAGCTGATGTTAGGGCTCTGATCAATTGGTATAGTAGCAGCCATATTAGATTCTCACTAATCAGGCACCACCAACGATTATTGCTCTGATACAATGATGAAACAAATAAAAATAAAATATAGCACAAAGCAAAAAAAGATGTAAAGAACATAGCACAAAACACGCCTATGAAATTAATCAATTTTTATTTATTGAATAAAAGAAAGAATACATAGATTATATATACTTTAGACTAATCTATTCTAAGCCGGCGAATCAAATCTATGAAATCTAACAAATTAATAAACAAATAAGAGTTTGTTAGGGAGGAAGTGAGGACCACTAAAATAGTGATCTTATGTACAATGGTGCACTATACCAATCCATCACCCCAGGTAGGTCTGTTGCATATAATGTATATCAAGATAAGCTGTCATGATCTCATCCATTGTCAACAATTTTGAGTGGGCGAAAAAATTAAACTTTAATTTATAACATTATTTTTTAGAGTATGTTACTTGAGAAAAATAGATACATAATTAAGTTAGAATTAAACTCAAAATGTAAATACAGTCAAAATTACGTCACTGTTTTTTTTTAATCATCTCTAGACTTATGCATAATATACATATAATAAACAATTATAAACAATTTTATCTATTTTATAGTTGAAAACATAAACTTCATGATAAATATCAAAGCCATTGATCAAAGAACGAACACAAACAGATTGTTTGTCACCAAATAATAATGATAAGTAGAATTCGTCCTGTACACAACAAATAAACACAGACAAGAAGAAGAGAGGATGAAGAAAAAGGCAAAAACCTGATCCAATATTGTATTTGAAAAGCTCTCTCTCTCAACAACACACCACCCGCCATTGAAGACTTGCACTCTATCTCCATCTCTATCTATCTATGTATCTATGTGTATGTACACTTGCCATTCCGACAACATTCCTCCTAATTAAACGGGTCGCTCCAGCACCGGTCTTCCTCCCTCGCCTTCTTCCATCTTCTTTCGAAAACCAACATTTCCTCGTGCGATCTTCTGCGCACCTATTTAATCGAATCGAATCGAGCAATTTTAGATATACAGACACTATTTAGTATTACAAAGGAAGGAAGTCGACTATTTCAAACTTACTGCTGATCTGTTGTCGACTTCGTACATGTCAGCTGTCTGAAAGCCGGAACAAGTTTTCAGTTAGTTTGTAAGAACTAGGAAAGTATGGTAGACAATCTCGGATCATTTCATACCCGGGATTGTAACTCTGATAAGTTGTTTGAATGCAACGATTTACTCGAGAATCCTCCGAGCGTAGGAAGCCCCAAATGAACAATGTACTCCTCGTCAACCACGCCAACTTTCGCCGTCCGATCGCCCTGTTATTTAAATTCGACGTTCCCGCCGCATCAAGAAGACGATAATACAAAGTAGAGATGTAATTTGCCGGAAACTTGCCTGCGCGCAATAGCCGAGTTGCAAATCGAGACCCCAAGCATGAATCAAGTCATTCTGCAGTCGAGCATAATACAAAAGTGAAATAATTTCATTTTCGAATTAATTGAAACGCATAAATGAGATCGAGATCAAACAATTCGGGATCTTAGCAGTTTCCAAGGTCGGCAAAGTACCTGGATCATGTACCAAGCACAACGCCACGCCATTTTTGAGAATACCGGAGCCATAAGTTCTACCCAACTGCAAGAAATGTAATATCATCGGTAACGTAAGCATAGAAAGTGACGACTAAAGTGAAAAGGTTCCGAGAGCTGTGTTTACCCAACACACGGCGGGGACATGCTCTTCCCGTCGCACTTTCCGCTGCCTTTGAACTTGTAGTATCTCCTATTTCAACACCAAATATTCAAAAATTTTATTCATTCATTAACAAATTAAAAATTATAAAAAGTTATCGACCATGTCACAAATCACGCGAATACATTGGTTTTATCCTATCGGGCATTCTTTGGTGTTTTTTTATGTTGTTTTTTAACCTAACCTGTGAACCCTCGAATGTTCCCGGCGAACAGTAATCGGATGATACACGGCAGATTTACTTGGATTGAGAGCCGGCTGTGAAATTTCGAGTCCTTCTTCCTTGACAATGGATAAATATCTGTGGCAAAGACGTGTGTATATATATATATATATGTATGATAAGGTATAGAAATCTAAGGATATCGTTTTTAACTAATCGACACATCGCGGACGAAGCATGCGAGATTCGTACCTTTGTGGATGAAAATTCTCAACTCCGAGGTCCTCATCCCACAGAAATATATAGTCGTAATTGGCAATAATATCCGGATGCAAAAATCGTTTCGCAAACCACCTGCGGCAATTATCAATGGACGAGATCGTAAGTTCCAATACCATGGGTTGAAAAAATATACGAAGAACCAAAATGAAAAACAGAAGGCACCATTTTGTTTGGTTGCGGGCAGCAACATGAATGACTTGGTCACTCCATTCAAGGTCATGCCAACTGTCGACGACATTGTCGTAATGAAAAAGCATCACTGTAAAATTACTTTGAAGAAACTGCAGGAAGTCCCATGCTTTCGAATGTCAATGATTCCTTATCTCGTGAGTCTAAAGATACAATGCAATTCGATATGAACGAAAGAGCCGAATATACCTTCTTAACGATTTCGCTCACCAATCCTTTCTGTCCGATCCCGGCAGCAATGGCCAACAAACCCAATGTCGGCTTGGATTTTTTCTGAAAGCGAAACATTACATAGAATTTATCAAATGATCATCACATTTCCCAAATAGAGAAGTCATTCTTTGTACTCCCTCCATCCTACTAAAAAATAATAATGATATTTTAATGTAAAAATAGGATAGGTTAAAAATAAAGTGAAATACTATAAAAAAAAAAAAAAATTATTAAAAATTTGATAAAAAGATGATGTGATAAGTAGGAAAAGTAATGACATACTACCTTAATCCTACTCTAAGGTAGTACAAATTAAGGAAAAAAATGACAAAAATACTGTCTTTAATACTAAAAGAATGACATTTGTATAAAAAAATTATACAAATATAAGAATATTTTTAATGTCAAGTACAAAAATGCAAAAGATAAATGTAACTCTCAGAGGCGGATAGAGCGGGTATTATTTATTATTTGTTAAAGTAGTAATTATAAAATTAAAGTTGTTTACTACAAATAAAACATACATCTTCGGAAAGAGGTCCCCATAAAGGATGCATTTCCAAGTTTGAAATTTCGGAAATGATTCCTTCCGGTAAAGCTTCGGTCCCAATAGGCCTGCATTCATCCTACGCAGAAAAAAAACTCAATTTACGATAGAAAATCCACACGAGGAAGATGTATAAACTATACGAGGGCAAGAAATGACAAACATTGCATTTCTGGTGACGTGTATGGTTACTTCCCCTCGTGGCGTTTAATTGTGATTCCACAGGCAATACCTTCAATGGTAGATATCTAATAGGCATTCGATACTTTATTTTTTTTCTCAAGCCGACAAAAGCAATGTAACATTATGAAAAATGTACCTCATACTTTTCAGATTTCACGTGCTGTTGCCTTGTGCTGAGACCAAATCCCCTCGACAACTGCATTGAGCATACTCGGCTTCATCAATAAAAATACACTTTCATGCAACGAACAAGTAAATGAACAAATACCCTCATCGGATCTCTTTTCAGCCATTCGGTCCCGAGGAAGTAAACACTGCAAACCACAGATAACACGATCAAAAGGCTGCAGACGAATGACTTGCTTTTAGGGTCCGGCGAGAAATTAACCTGACAATGAGACAAAGCTGTAGTCATATGAACATCCAAATGCTACGAGATTGTCTCGAATATGGAACCATTAGAAATTATAAAGTAATCGATTTGCTTATATGAAGATTAAAGAACTAAAACCAGTTTGCACCTCCCGGATTCGATGAATATCATAGTGTCGAAAACTCGTCTCCTTAGCAATCTAAGATGTTTTTTCAATCGAGTACCTTTTCAAGCTTTCCTAAGGTTACCAACACATTGAATCAATTTACAACAATACTTCAAAATCAATTTGTTTTTTTCGTCATTTAAAATTAAAACTAATCAAATATTTATATAAATATTTCGTAATTTTAAAATTTTAATCTATTTATGTTTTCCAACTTATCATCTTCTTCCACCATGGCCAAAATTGGATCAAAAATCCGTGCCATTCCATTTAAAATATACTTTATTAAAAAAAATATTACGATCAAAAATATAGTTTAGATTCAAAACCTCATATTAAACATCTATTTAACATCCCATCAAACATCTAATTCATATTTAATTTTTTATTATTATTATTCCCAATACAATCCAAAATTCCAAAACATTTCCTAAATATACTCAACACACTCTTATACTTCCAACTTTATTTTTGCAAATATGTATTAAAAATTAAGTTCATCAAGCATTTTTTGATCCTAAATTACAACAAACATACACTAGAAAAAGATTTCAAAGTTTCACAACAACAAATCCAAAATCCAATCTAAGTGCAGAACAAGCAACTTCAATTCGATCAATTTGTGTGTAGAAACGAGACAAACACACAATCTCAATAACTTAAAAACAAAATTACAATACAGAACACTAAAGAAGAGATAACGAAGGGAGAGAGATAGTTACAGAATTGTACGAACTCATGGTCGCAGAAGTGAAGACGAGACGTATTCCCCCGAAAAAACTGCCTTTCGGCCGATGCTTTTGGTCTGATCAGAAAGAAAATACTAAAAGTTGGACAGTGGACAGCGGAAAAGGGCAACGAATAAAGGATGGATGTTAGGAAGCAAACCCAAACCGAAAAGGAATACCTCAAAGTAGAGCAGAGCAGAGCAGAGCAGAGCAATAAAGGTATCTTCCTTTCCTTTCCTTGTTCCTTCAAACGACGTCGTTTTCGTTTACCACCAGAAGCGGCGCCGTCGGCCACCGCCGTTCCAACTCCGATCGTTCGGTGGCTCGCTTTAATTGCGGGTTCTCGATTAGTGCGCAGATGATTTCAAATCTTGGGGAAATGTAATGAACGTGTCGGAGTGGTGGTGCGCGCGTCCCTGCACTCGCGGGCCTATTCGAATTAGTTCACACTGAAAGGCGGTCAGACGTGGATGTGTGGGCCCATTTATTCTCGAAAACGTGTTTTCTATTTTTATTTTATTGCTATGTTTATTTATTTTTGTTTGTGTAATTATTTAAAAAAAAAAAAAAAAAATTGACATGAGATATGGGATGCACAGAAAAGCATCGTACCTGAAACATAAAAGCATCGTACCTGAAACATAGAGAATATTATTTAAATCAAATATTTTAATTACTCAAATTTTTATTAATAAAAAAATATTTTTAATATTTTTAAATAATTTAAATTGAATTAAAATAAAAAAAATTATATAAAAAATAACTAAAATTTCAATTAAATTATGGCAAATATTTCAAAACACGTCAAAATCAAAAATTCAATTTGATTCGATAACGGTTCAACTAGATTATTTTGTCTATTTTTATTTATAAGTATATATTTTTTTTTAATAAATATTATATTTTAATAATAATCGTCTACAAAATTATCGTGTGAGAATATTATATAGCATAAATAAATATAAAGGTGAGGATACAGAGGTGATATTTTTTTTATACATTTTTAGTATAATTAATATTTTATACTATCAAAAATTTTAAATATAAAATTCGTTTATTTAATATTTCAATTTAAAGTATTTTTTTTTAGTGAGAGGTATAAAAATATATATATCTGCAACATAAAAAATACTATTGTTCCGCAAAAAAATAATATTTGTTTTTTGTATATAATTTTTTTAATATTAGTATTATATTGATTGTATGATATAAAAGTAATGACAATTCGTATAATATATTAAAAATTGTAAAAGTATTAATTATGTTACGTAGATAATACAATTACTAAATTATAAAATTACTTTTTTTTTACATTAAAAAATTAAAAATAATAGTACCATTCTTATAGATAAAGAGAGTATTAAAATTTTGTATGAAATATTAATTTTTGTTAAAAGATAAAGATTCCACATAAGCTGCAACATATTTTTTTATTATTATTGTCATGCATACTTTACATTATTTTTTAAAAAAAAAAAAATTAAATAACTCACTTTATTATGTCACACTACTAATAAAAAAATAAATATATATTTCCCTATCTCATCATATCACCTTATTTTATTTTATTATATCCACCTAACTTTTCTTATCATAATCAAAATATTGCACCATGGGACAAAAAAGTATTATGTATATATTAAAAACCATATTAAAAAGATTTAATTGGAAAATCAAACCCATAATACTTACAAAAATAAAATACTAAATTCACCAAGTTATTTTCAATCACAATTTCTGATTAATATTATTAGAATATATGATATATATATATATATATATATAATTATTCAAGCAATTACATGTGTTTGTTTGGAGATTTGGATTTTGAGCTGGGATTTGAATAGTAAAAATTTTGAATTTGAATAGTTGTATGATGAGACATAAATAGGTGTTGATGTAATGTTTTGAATGTAAAATTGATTTTTAGTATAATATAAAAAATAAAAAATAAATATTTGATTTGATATTTTTGTGAAAAAAAATTAGATGAATAGTGTAAATCCAATCCAATCCTCCAAATACGCTATAATAATTAATACTTAATATTACTTTCTCCGTTATTATTCAAAAAGCTAATTTAAGTGTTATTTATCCTTAAATATAAGTCATTTCTTTTACAGTATTAATATAAATCATTGTAATATTTATTAATTATTTTAATATATTTTTAATGACTTATAAATTTACTTTTATAATTTAAATAATTATTAATTTTTATATATACAGTATATTTTTTGTTACATGAACTTTTTATAAATAATGAATATATTAAAATTGTTATACAATATATAACAAAATATAAAATTACTACTACTAATAAAATATAATATATAGATATTGCAATATATATAGATATGTAATAAAATATGTATATATATATATATATAATATAGAGAGAGAGGGAGAGTAAATGAAGATGCTGGGTGGAGACGTGAGAGAGAGAGTAAAGGCAGTATCCTTTCTTATTTCTTATGGCATATTTATAGCAAATTACATTGATATTAGTCATTATAATTGATGACTTAGCAATATCATTGCATGATACACACAAATAAAAAAAATATGAGTCATAGCAAGAATAACTTTATTTGAAATTATAAATTTAATATAAATAAATAAATTGATTAAATATTAACTTAATAAAAATATATATTTATATTTTACACAATATCTAATGAAAAAAAAAAAGTTTATATTTTTTAAAATAAAAATACATTAATTTTTCATAAAATATTTTTAAAATAACAAAAATAAATTTTCATAATTTTCAATAAATAATAATAAAATATTTTTAAAAAATCCTGTACACCAAAAAACACACAACTAAATATTTTAAAAGCACAGTACATGTCTTTAATTGTTTTTTTAAACAAGTATTTTTCCAACTAACTAAATCCGCTAGTCAAATCAACTAACATCTAATCAAATAAACTAACAGCAAAATCAGCATAAAATTTAATTATGCTGAATGAGTGAATTCAACATTTGATCAATTTTTCATTTTCGCTTCGTTCCAAAACAAGAGTATTATTTTCTAACTTAATAATTATACTACCCACTTAATATAATAAATACAGTTCCAATACATATATTACACAAATATTTAGTCGTGCAAAAAGCAATCGTTACTCTCTTTACAAAGGGAAAGAGAGTTATTTTTTAAATTAGCACTATATTTTCCTATATTTAATATATATAAAAAAATACCTAAAATTGAAAATTCAAAACAAACCCACTCTAAATTTGAAATTGCCATAATAATAAGAATAATATCCAAAGATGGGAGAATCATTTGCATTAATTTCTAGTAACTATGGAGCCATTGCGTCTACAAAAATATACTTCCTCACTCCATCCTAACCCAATTCAAATGTATCCATTTTATATATTTTAGCAAAAATATTTTTACTTCAATAAAATATATTTTTACAAACAATGCTTCTGCAAAATAAATGAATTTAAAGACAAAATTATCATCTCTCTAGTGTACTATTACCTATAAAATACTTGCATACTAAAATTCACCTCAAATAAACAAATGGATACATAGATCTAGGACAGAGAAAGTACTATTTACTAGTAGTACAAAACATCACATTTATATTAAAACTAACTTAAATCAAAACCAAGTAAACAATTTAATATGCATTTCCTATATCAAATATTAGCATAAGATATGCTGTACAAATAAAAAGAACAGACGAGTAGTTTATGTAGACATCTAACAAAAATCACAAACCTTAATTCTAATAGCAGAAGATATACCACATGACATATTAGCAATTGAGCCAAGCCAACAATATGTCATAATAATAAAATTTGGGCAAGACTGGATCGATTAAAGCTCCCAAAAGATACACTGTAAATAATTCAGACAAGCCACCGTAATGTTTTACATTATGAATGAGAGAAATAGATAGATAGGTGTCCTAAATTGCACAAAACCAATAGCATCGCCAGTCATCATAAACTACAAAAGTTCCCTGCTGCTGGCATTCGACATGCAGCAGGAATATGATGTTATTATTAATCACTCATATTTTAATGCCAAAAGATAAAAGAATTGCCAACGGAATAATCAGTACCGTGTCTCTTGATAGGAATAGACTGTTGTAAAATAGTGTTCAAGCAGTTGCATCCTTGAGATATGCAATTAGATCTGCCCGGTCTTGGGGTTTCTTCAGCCCCGGGAAGACCATCTTGGTTCCAGGTATGTACTGCAGCAGCAAAAACACCCAACGTCAGACATCATGAATGCTACCAATTCGACAATGGATTGGAATAAACTACCATGGCAAATAATCGCATGAAATATAATTGGTTAATTGGAAAAAGGAAAGCAATGAGGTAGTCAATTATATATGCAAGTGTTCATGCTCAAATGATCTTGTGTTTCGTTAGGAGTTTTAATTTTGAATAATAAAAATTTTGAATTTGAATAGTTGTATGATGTGATATATATAAATATTGATGTGATATTTTTAATGTAAGATTAATTTTTAGTATAATATAAAAAATAAAAAATAAGTGTTTGACTTGATATTGGAGGGGCTCCCAACCAAACACATTTACACAGGTTTAAACTATTTAAAGTAGGAACGAAGTTAAAGAATAATAAATAAAGAATAGAGAAAAAAAAAAAAAACAGAAGGACAAAGAAGACTTCTATTTAGTTTGGGTGACATTCACATCATTACTTTTAAAACAATAAAAATAAAATACACAAACGGAAAAGTTTGGGGAACACATATCTAGTTAACTAGTCGTGCTTAGGATTGATAATAGTTAAATCAATGTTTCATTTTAAAAACAAAACTTATGACCAATGAAATAGGTAGATTCTTGATCTCAAGAAAATCATGCAATTCCACCAACCAAAATTGGGCCTAACCATGAAATCTTATTCACGATGTTCAAAGCTGTCTAACAAAATGGGTATTCAAGCATTCAAATACATTGCAGCCATACCTTCTTAGGATTGAGCAGGTAATCATAGAGCGTTTTCTCTTCCCATATAACAGCCATGCTCTTGTTGGCAGCTGAGTAAGAATACCCAGCTGTTGTGCCAGATTGCCTTCCAAAAAGGCCATTCAAGTTGGGACCTAGACAATTCAAAGGTATATCTTTAAAACATACAGATTACAAAACTAAAAAGGAGATGCCTATACTAAGGTTAGTATGTGACATGTTTCATGACGCAAATTATAATTCAATAGGACGCCGTAAATGAAAATACACAGGCTACAGCAATACACGAAACTAATAGTAAAAATCTGATTGGAAGCAGGTTGGCAGGTCAGGTCAAGAATTGGCTCACCCTCATAAAACATGTGAGTTGTCAAACCAAACCCAGCCTGCCAACCCGTGCTGGTTCACATGGCTGACCTAAACCAGACCCCTACTGCAAATCATTTATATTATATTTTAAAAAATTAATCAAACAAACATAATAGAATTTGATCATAATGCAATTGGAATTTACTATACATAGCTACAAATTGCCACATTTGAAAAGTATAGGACTGAGGTTAAATTATACAAGTATAAATGTGTAAGAACTTTGTTTGGTGGATCAACACGATTTTGACTAGCACCAAAGAAGCCTTAATACAAATCCATTAATTTTGCATTTGAGTCCAAAATTTCCCCCTCTTCTTCAGTGCTAACTTCTAAACCATACATCTCTTTTGCAGAAACATTTAATCTTAGGCTATAAGAAGGTTGACATGGTGAGAAGAAAATCCAATCCTAAATTGAAGTTCATTCGATCTTGAACTGGTAAAGCTTTCTCCATTAAATTTAAGGAATAAAAATACAGGCCAATCAACCACCCAAACAAGAAGCCAATAACCAAAAAAGTCAAGATCGAATCATCTTCACTCAACGAATTATTATCGGATCTAAACCAGTAAATAGCAAGTTAAGCTGTAGAATCAGACAAAAAGTAACAACCATGGCACAATAAAAGCATGTAATCACAACAAAAACATAAGAATCTAAAACCACGAAACATATTCAACTACACTGATTATCAAAAAACTACAAACACGCGATAAGAAATTCAACAAATCGTCCATCTATACATCAACACGTACACACATATCATATGCAATAAACCGCAAATCTAAGCAATAAACACATCACAAGTCGGAACGGGAAAATCCAGACGGATCAAAATCCAAAAACAACTCAAATAACAACAATCCAGTTTCGGAAAAGCACCTTGTTTATGGCCCGCTCCTTTGTCCACCGTATGGCACTGAGCGCACTTGGTTTTGAAGATCTTCTCACCAGATTTCGCATTCCCCGGAGGTGCCTCGTCGAACGACGCCATGGAAGGAAGCAGAATGGTCACGCCTAGGGTTTTCAGACCGCGTTGAACACTCGGCGTGGGAAAATGACCTAAGCTAGAAAGTTCTCTTACGCCAAACACACCTTTTGGTTTTAAGGAGAAGATGCCATATGGGCGGCGCTGAGATGAAATTCCAATTTTACCCCTCCGCGTAGAAATTCCAAATACTAGCGGCGGAAACGTAGACTACTTGGAATGACTTCAGACCTCTCAATAAATTAATGAATTAATTTAATTTTTATAGCGAGGTAGGTGGTGTTAAGGGCAAAATTACCATTTAACCCTCGCCATGGAATCGTAACGTAACGATTTATAGTATTGTAAAAAAGAACTTTTAAATAAAATGTTATAATAATAATAATAATAAATGGTCCATATCATTTATCATATTCATAAGCACATAATAAATGGCAAGTAACTTGTCGTTCAAGACAACCCTTTTTGCAATTGCATTGCACCCCAGCCAGCCATGGCTGGCATGTGCATTTATATTTTCAATATGTAACATTTATTGACTTAATTAATTAATTTTGACGTAATGTTCCATTCACTTGGTAATAAATTAAAATATATTTGGAAATGAATGATCGACGGTGTGAGATTGGACTTGTGACCGTCAACTTATAGGTTCAAATATCTGACATCTCAGGTCACCTGTCACATATGATTCGTTTACTGTGACTTGTCTGTCGGGCGTACTTTGTAGGGTAGTAAATTCGGTCGAGGTTTACTTGCACTTTTGGATAACGACTGCGGATTCCTCGTCATTATATATACATATGGATTCAAACATCTATCTTCTATCACATAAAATTTAAAATATTTTTTGCTGGCATAATTTGGTGACTATTAACTTCAATTAGAGCTTATTTGATGCATACTTGAAGAATAATAGTGATTGTGGTTTAAAAGAAAATATATTAAAAATAAGGTTTTATTATTATTTTTTTAAAGACTTATAGTAAGGCTCTTTTTAGATGGCAGATTTGGAAGTTTTTTGTTAGATTATTTTTTTATATATAATTTATTTGAATTGAAAAGTTTGTGTGGAGGTTTGAAATATATTTATATTGTAGTTTTGACGGTGTTTGGTTTTTATTTTATATACAAAGTATCGTTATTTAGTCTACAATTTTTATCGTTATTTAGTCTACAATTTTTAATAAAAAAATATTTTTTATATTCTGAATAAATATACTTTCTCCATTCCAATACAATACTCATGTTTATCATTTTTGTTCGTTCTAAAACAATAGTCTCGTTTCCATAAATAATCATATCACTGTAAACCTACTCTTACGTTTTCATTATTATTACACACTCACAAGGACAAAAAAATCTTTTTATCCGTACTTTTTACCCATTGCCAATATAATATCAATATTTCTTAAATCTCATGTCAAACACAACCCGTTTTAGGACGGAGAAAGTATATATTTATTTATGACACAAAATTTTAAAAATATTATTTTAATTATAATGAGTAATTAAGATAATATAAAAAAAATTATTTTATTTTTTTAATGAAAAATTAATGATATTATAGAAAATTAGAAGTATTTGTGTGAAATACTGAAGTAATAGTTACCAAAAGAATATATACATTAATGTGAAATACGAAAATGAAAAAATGTATATATTTAACACTAGATGAAAGAAGTATAATTGTTATTTTTTTTTATAAAATATTATATCGAAGTTTTATTAAAATTATAATTATACTTCAATCAAAACCAAACAAACCCTAATTTTTGTAGATATTTTGGATAGTTTTTTAATTTTTTTTTAATTGTAAATAATTTAAGGGTTTGTTTGTTTAGTGTTTGGTTTTATTTTTTATTTTTATTTTTTTTATATGAGATATAAGAAATTGTGTGTAATATTTCGAATATTTATTTTATAAGAAGATAAAATATACTCCCTTTCTATTTCAAAACATCATTTTTACTATTTTCTTTAGTTTCAGTTCAAAGTATCAATTTATATTCTAGATAAAGTAATTATACATTAATATTAAAATATCTTTAATTTTTACTTAAATTATATATACAGTACATAAAGTCAAATAACAAAAATATCAAAACTTTTTTACATGCTTTTATAAACCAATAAAATATTTTTATTTTTTAATCTATTACAAAATCTCAAATAACCCATTTAAAATAGATCCAAGGGAGTATATATTAAAAGTTGTATTTAAAAAATATTTGTACAAACAAACTCTAATAATTGATATTAATTAGTAATATGGAAATATTTTTTAATATAATAATATATTTTATAACAAATAAATTAAATTTGTAAACTATTATAATATTTTAAAAATATATCACAATGTAAATGTAGTTAATATAGATTATTTTGTAGGATATAAAAACTCAAAGATTAAAAGAGGAGAACTAGCAAATGAATATTAAATAAAATGTTTGAATAACAAAAAGAATATTCCCTCACTCCCAGATATCATGTCCAAGTTGTCGTTTCTGTCCGTCCCACATACCATGTTATTTTCTTTTTCTAAAAATAATTACACACTTTAATCTCATTTTAAATTTTTTAATTTTGTTTTAAATTTTAATTAAACTAATTAGTTATCTTAATTTTAATTTATAATTATTTATATTATAGAATAATTATTTTCAATAATATATTCTTAATTATCTACTAATTACACCCTCCTAAAATACCGTGTCTACACGGTATCTGAGACAGACGGAGAGAGTAATAAGCAAAAAAGAAAAATAAATAAAAGGAGCAACTACATTTTGAAAAGTAGATAGGATGGCAATGAATTTCATGGTTCACACTTTTGACTCCTTATTAGGTTATTAGATTTGTATGCTATTGGGTTTGATCTAATATATGAACAAATAAATTCTTTATATTAAATATGAACAATTGTATTTGTAATATTTAAAATAATATTTTATATTGAATTATTAATTTTTATAAAAAAAAATATATATTATATATATAATGTGTTAATGTATATGTATATTACACATTTTTTAAATAATATTTATAAAAAATTATACCATCAAAAAATACTAACCCATATTTTAAATCATTTAAATATATTTCTAATTATATATTAAATTATAAATTAAATACTAATTAAATAAATTACTTTCAAACCAACTTTAAATTTAAAACTCAACTAATAATCAAACACCCATCCCTTTATTTTTTCTTGTCAACTAATAATCAAACACCCATCCCTTCATTTTTTCTTGTAAAAATATACTTACTTCGTCCCACATATAAAGTCAGTAGTTTTATTTCGATTCATCGTATATAATCTGTCTTTAGAAAATAAATAAATAAATATATATATATATATATAAAGCAATAAAACAAAACAAAAAAAACCAAAAATTAGCAAATTCCTTATTAAAAATATATCCTAATTACCTTTACAAACACTTAAGAGAAAAAAAAAAAATAATAAAAAAAGAGTACAGTACACCACAAAAATGCTTCTTGTTTTCCCTCGGCCACAATTTATAACTTGCACGCACAAGCACGCCCGCTCTGTTCTTCATCCTCCGCATGGCTGCGTTTAATCATCGGCCACCCGACCCCGCGCGGCGGCGGCGATCCCGACGCCGGCGAGTTCTCGCTTGGGTTGAACAGACCCAGCTCCACAAACGCCGGACCCGACTCGTATTCCTTACCCTTCGTCACACGGAACGATATCGATCCGCGGTTCGGCGACGACCTCGAGCTGATCGCCGTGCTTTCCCCGGGACTCCGATTGGCTATCAAAGAGCTGGAGTCGCCCGCGGCTTCCACGTCGCCGCCGTTCGGAAAATTCCGCAAAGCTAACGAATCTGCGATCGGGAGGTACACGAGGATGCAGATCCCGACGCCGGCGCAGCACAAAAAGCAGAAGAAGGCCAAGAACACGGTAGCGTTGAACGCAGCCCGCTCGGGTTTGAAGAGAACCGATAAACCAAGCAGGACGACGCGTAACGGGAATATACCGGAAGTAGAAACGATCAACGCGTAGACTCGACGTTGAAGTCCGCGGTTAATAACCAGGCGGAGAACCCGGGCGCCGAGCCAGAACAGGTACACCGTTAGAACGACGGAGAATAGGCCGAGAAAGAGAGTGCTGAGCAGAGGATAAGTGCAGATGGCGTTACGAGCCTTCGTATCGGCAGCTGCTTCGACAAAATACAACGGGAGTTCCGGGAGGTGTTTATTCTTATAATACGGTCCGATCGAAATTACCATGATCTGAAAGACGAGCGTCGGGAGGCAGTAGAGGAGGACGTAACCGGTCGTTCTTACGTTCCGCTTCTCCGTTAAGGGTCCGCACCGTTGTAACGACGTACGAAGGAGAAATACGAGGGTGAGGAACAGGCACGGCTCGGCGAATCCGAGATTCGATACAATATAGCATTTGCAGATGTTCTCCTGCCATTGTAAGCTGAGGGCATCCAACGGTCCTCCCTTGCGACGGAATAGATTGAGACGAACGATTTCGCCAATGCCCCACCAGATCGAGAAGAAGATGTAGGCAATTCGGATGATCCAAGGGCCGTTAAAATAGCTGAGCTGATCGAGACTGTGGCTGTGGATCTGACTGCGGAAGTAGAACATATATACGACGCAGAGTAGACCGAGAAGGATCGAAATAGCAACCAGACAAATTGTCACCACACCGAGTGCATCGGCAACAAATCTCGTCAGGGGCATTACCCAATGCGCAGAAAGCGCGCATGCTCTCCGCTAGCATGTACAGAAAGTGAAGCCTCGGTTGGGTCCGGGATTCCACGGTGAGTGACTATTATTCATGGGGAGGAAGATGGGAAAGGCTCCGGTTAGTTCCAATTTGATCGAGAATAACCATTGGGGAGATTGTTTACATTAGGGCCCCCAGGCCCAAAGCAGTTGGGAAGTAAGATCCTTTCTTAAGTTTCCTGATCCTGGAATATACACAGCCCCTCTGAAGTTATGGATGATGATACAGAAGAGTTAGCTAGTTGAGACCTGCAGAAATCGACGACATTGGCCAAATCATTAGTTATGAGATAAGTATATTAATGTGTACGGAAAATGGCACATCGATAATTATTGCCAAAATGAATATGGTTTGCGAAGACCGGGATAGAAATGTAGGAAAAATGGTATTGCCAAAAATTGCATTATCATAGAAAGCAACAGAAATAGAGCATAAAAGATTCTAAACCTGTCGAAATGTGAAAAATAGAGACATGAAAAATAAGGATCACCCAGCAAAATTTTCATGAAACATTAACTATATCTGACATAATCAGGAGAAAGAAAAAAACGAGAACTGCAGCATAGATTCATTTGCAATGAGGGTAAAATCGTATGCTAATGTCAAACAATTAGGAAGTAATATGTGGTGAAACAATGGCAAGTAAACACAGCATCGAACAGAGCACAAACTGAATCCGGTAACAAATTAATTCTTACAAAGTACTACAGCTTCAGCAAGGCTATTATAGTGCATTTCAACAAGTCTGAATTTGGATCATAATAGAATAATTGCTTAAAAGAAAGTTGAGAAAGAAGAAGCACTTCTCAAAATAGTGTTTCTTCCACCAAATGTCGAATAAAGTGGACTCCATATATTAAGGAAAATCCGGATGAGTTTCATCCATCATTACCTTGCTCGGTAATAATGACCGAGTATAGTTAAAAACAAACTTACTACAGCACAGACTGTTAAAATATTAGCTTAGCTGCATGATACCAAAATCAGAAACTAGAGAAGAGATGCAGATTTTCAAAAAGACAATACCAATTTGAATTAATGTATGCAAGAACTCTCTCCATTAAAGCATGCCTCATCCAATTAGATTTGGGTAGTGAACAGACACCTTCTATGCAGCTACAGGCATACATGTTTCAAAATTAAACTTCCCAAGATCATTCAAATCTCTCCTGCAGCAATTACATCCAAACTCTCTAGTCGATTCCATGAGTTGTGCAGCCAATATTCTTAATAAATTTCAGATTGGTGATTCCATGGGATCCCCTGTTTTTACATAAGCAGAAAGTCTGTGATAATGTAACCCCACACATTACCAAGACAGATCAAACCTTACTATAATGGCATTACAGGATTCAGCTAAATAAGATTTAAGAGTAGATCAGAGCACTAGTATGTTTCCTCCTGTGAATGAATTTCACTTGTGCAGAAATCTTATCTAAATCCTATCAACTACAGATTTGAACAGTTTATGAGCTGAAACACCAAAAAACACTTTAGACTGCAAATAACGCAACAGGTTTTAACTAATCTTATCAATTAAAGTCTACTTAAATCCATGAAAACAAAGCAGGTAAAACAACATAGCACGAGAATTGTTTTCTCCAGCATAAAAACAAAAAACAAATTCGAAAATTCAAAAATTCAAAAATCAAACCTAGTCGGAAACAAGGACGGATGGATACCAACAAAACACTGGTAAAAAAACACACATGCAAAGCGGTTCTCAAAACAAATGACAACAGACAAGAAGAACAATTATCCGAAACAAAAGAGGCAAACCAAAATATCTCCAACGCCTTCCCAAAATCCGCACATTAACACAAAGCAAATGCAACACCAGAAAACCACGAGCCTTAATTCACACCAAAATAATTAAATTAAATCAATCGAATGATAAAACACGAGATCCGGAGAAACCTTACGGTGTCGATCCGGCCAGCAGAAGATACGAATCTGAAAATCCAGTGAAGAAACCGGTTGCGATGGAGAGAACGATTCACACCAACAAAGAAAACCAAACCAGGGAGAGAAGTTTCAAGTGTGTGTGTGCGTGAGAGAGAGAAACAACGTAAGGTAAGGAGGAGTAGTCTTTGTAAGAGAGAGAGTGGGACTTTGTTGCTGACAACCTGTCGCCAGCCAATAACCCAAAACTCATAATAATTACACCGAATAATAATAATAATAATAATAATAATAATAATAAATACATACGTATATATGAAAACTCGATATTAGCCTCTGAGTATTATTTATTCAAACAATTAAGCACCTTACAAATATTTACTGTTTACATGTCCGGTACATTCTGGTGATACGAGAGTTGGACTATCGGTTCTGAAATTTAGAAGATGTATGATTAATAAATAATAAAAATATATTAGTAAAATTAATTAGAGAAAAATTATTTTTAGTCTCATTTAATATTATAATTATTAATTTTGGTCTAATTTATTATTATTATTTCTTTTTATCAATGTTGGTCTCATTTAAACGATAATTTATCAATTTTAGTCTCAAGATGGTTGACTGGGACTGAACACGGCCGCGTTTGCTTGAACATGACCGTGTTGGATGACTCAGAAGGTGACTGGGCGTCCTAGGCACCCAACACAGCCGTGTTGATTACCCTGCACTGCACTTCTGAACACGGCCGCGTTCCTGTCCGTGTTCTCAATACAGTCACGTTTCTACTCATATTCTCAACGCAACCATGTTTCTGTCTATGTTCTCAACACAACCATGTTCTAGTTCATGTTCACGACGATATTCTCAACACAACCATATTTTAGGTCATGTTCATGACCATGTTTTTAATATAATTATATTGTAGGTCATGTTTATTATTATTTTCACTTCTTAGTTAAAATTATTTGGTATATATATTTTTAATTCAATAAAAGTATTTTTTACAATTATTTCATCGTATAAAAAATAATCAATTTTTAATATTTTAAAAAATAATTGAAAAAAAATCAAAATAATAATATATTAAAAAAATTTATATTTTTTTTTGAAATTATTTTTTTAAATGTTAAAAATTGATTATTTTTTATATGATGAAATAATTGTAAAAAATATTTTTGTTGAATTATAAATATATATACCAAATAATTTTAACTAAGAAGTGAAAATAATAATAAACATAACCTATAATATGATTATATTGAAAACATGGTAGTGAACATGACCTAAAACATTATTGTGTTGAGAACATTGTTGTGTTAAGAACATGGGCAGGAACATGGTTGTGTTGAGAACACGAGCAGGAACACGGCCGTGTTCAGAAGTGCAGTGCAGGGTAATCAACACGGCCGTGTTGAGCCCTACATAGCCGTGTTGGCTGCCTGAGACGCTCAGTCACCTTCTGAGTCATCCAACACGGTCGTGTTCAAGCTAACACGGCCGTGTTCAGTCCCAATCAACCATCTATGGACTAAAATTGATAAATTTTCGTTTGAGTAAGACCAAATATGATTAAAAAAAATAATAAAATTAAATTAAATTAAATGGAACCAAAATTGATAATTATGATATTGAATGAGACCAAAAATAATTTTTTCTCAATTAATTACAATAGTTTTGATTTTAAGGTTATATTTCTTTCTCATTTTGTTCAATTTTAAGGTTTTAAAACTTGAAATACTTGTCATGTTTGTGTTGGGACTAAAATTATTTCACCGTTTTTATAATTTTTATGTTAATATGGGTAATGAGTTTTTAGATTGGGTGTTAAAGTGACATACATTGGGTTATAGTTAATTTTATATTAGTTGTCAAGTTTTTGCGGACAAATATCATCGATACCCATAATGTACATTTATAGATTTGAATATGTCATACTTATTTAATACATCTTAGTTGATTTGGATATGTTTGTGCTTTTGTATTGAGTGTAAAAATGTTATTTAATGTTTTTAAAAAAAATTATCGTTGTTTTGTATGAGTGTAGTTTTTCCACAATGGATATAAGCACACATGTGGATTTATATTTGTAAATGGATGATTACATCTCATCTAAGAGCTCCATAACACAGTATCAGACAGGTAGAAATTTATAATTTCTAAAGATTGACAAATACCAAATGTATTTTAGATCACTTTTTGATATATGCGTCCAAGTTCAGGGCTAAATGCACCAATTGTGAAGTTTTGGCATAGTGACCATGTCTATATTTGAAGAAAAAATTTACGTTTTTTATGTGATAATTATGTTTTGAATATATTCAAAGTGCATTACGAGAAAAATGTTATAAGTGTGTACGTTGATGATAAGACTTTGCCAATAATGATTTTTGACTCATGTGATCAGAAAATTAGACGGGGTATCAGCATTTGATGCATGAATGGCATGGGGATTGAGGTGGCAATGGTTGTGAAGTGGGTGGCAAAAATATTTCTGCCGAGGAGGTTGAAAGACAGCATGATCCAATGGGTATTAAGTTGGATGAGTAGGATGACATTATGATTACAAAAGAGATGTGTGTGACTAAAATAGAACTGTTCAATGATGAAATGAATAAGAACATGACTAGGGGTTTTGATCTAAGGGAGGAATGGTCTACAAAAAAGGAAAGAGTATTTCCACGTCCGATTTTGATGGAGACCTAATGAATGAGGATACTATGATTACATACCGCAACGTATGGTGGATAGACAAAAATTTGAACATATGTCCATAGTGTGTGAACCAAATAATGAATATGTCTTCAATGCATGATGATGTTGGTTTTGACTTTGCATTCACTAACAGTACAAATTTTGAGAGCTCTAGTATAATAGACTTCGAACGAGGAATGGTAAAGGTGAGCGTTCATTTTCCCAAATAACGAACATCTAAATATGCAGGCTATTTTACCATTAAATATTTATTTTTTATTGCCATATAATATAGATAGAGATGAGGATAATCCACATGTTGCAGAATACGACTTTAAAAACAAATACTATAGTCCTCCGAATGAGGAAGCAAAACACGTACGAATAAAGAATCTAAAAAAAAATGGCATAATAATCAGATCAACGGTTTATCACATACACTATATATCTCATAAACTTTCATTACCAATTAATACTATTATATCGACTAGCTCACTACACATCACGTACAAAATATAATCATAATGGTCTATTCAATTCAAGCACTTAGTCAAATAGTCTATTCATTTCAAGTGTGCATAACTTAACATTTTACCTTAATCGTAGACCTATCCCGCCAGATAAAAATAAAGCATAATTTCAAGCCGGGCGGGACCTTCGGACAATCTTAAACCACAATCAAGCCAAGAACATCAACAACAATGCTAAAAATAATCACAAATATAGCTCCCAAACGATCTCAACTCGATCCAACAACTACAAATAATATTCACAAGGCTTCGGGGTACTTTGACAAATAATTTTTAACTCAAAAGTCATTCAACAAGGCTTGAAAATCAAGGCATGGGTCATACAAAGTTGATTTTATAATTTTAAAATCTCAAATCGTATAATTAATATCCAATTGCAATAATATGTTAAAAGCTCCATCAATCAACACCTCCAACACACTAATTGAAGTTTGAAACCCTAATTTGGAGAAATAATTTGGCGGAAAAAATACAATTTAATATAATTTCACAAAATTGACTTTGAAAATATTTGATAAACGAAAAAAAATAAATATATTTCCTTATTTCGAGATATATACAAGTTGGGGGTCCCACCTCAACCCCCTGTTTGACTGATGGTGTTTAAAAAAAAATGATAAACGATAATTTGAAGTCTAAAATCATAATCTGCAACAAAAAAAAAAAAATATTATTTCGACTTCAATACCACAACGACATTACAAAATAAAATTAAGCCATGAAAACTTGAAACAAAGCTAGTACAAAGATTTTAAATTTATTGGAGATTTAAAATTATAACCAAACGAAGAATTTACCTTAAAATTGAATTTGCAATGAAGAAGAATGTTGCCCAAGCTCCTAAAATCTCTCATACAGCCACAACTTGAAAATGAGGGGGAATGGGGGTTGAAGGGGGTTTTATTTCATCAAAATATGCAAAATATATTTTCAAAAAAGTCTTTGACCGACAATTGACGCGGAGCCTAGATAGCGAGACATTGTCCAATTTTGCTTTTGAAAATAGATATATAATTCAAAATCATATTTACCAGCAAAATTTCATATCTATTGGATCTATACATAATTTATGGTAAAATTTTCTAAGTCAAAATTATGGCATTAACTCTTCACATACAACTTTCTACTAAAATGAACATATCTCTTTTATCCAACCTCCAATCAACTCGCCGTTAGTGGAATTGAAAAACTAATTCAAAGACCTAGAAAATGAGACTAATATCACCAAAAAGAAACTCAAGAAATATGAATATATTCAAAGGGAACATATTGACAAAAGGTTAAATTGATTAATCTATTAAAGGCCTAATGAAATGATTCAGTTACAAATCAAGTATTAAAAATTTGATTCAAAGATACTTAAAGTTGGAATAATAGGTGGATCATAAGTTGGTGAACATATTTTTATATCACAAATTGTATTGATTATTGCTTCAATAATTAAAAATTATAATTTTCACTGAAATTAACATGTATAATGATAATGAAAAAAAGTTAAAGACAATTTTTGAAACATTGATTTATACCTCCATAAGCCTTGTATTTAATTATGGTAAGATATCACATTTTATATACAAAAAAGTAGATATCTTAATCCTCTACAATGTAAATTATAACATTAAAGCTGAAATGATCATATTTAGTTTGACTTACGAGAAAAAAGAAAAAAAATATAAACCAATGATGTTGACATTAAAGTATAATTTTCAAATATTTTAAATTCCATTTGGATAGATTTTTGTAAAATATTTTTTGCTTTTACTTTTTTAAAAAAAATACATTTAATCTTGTTTGTATTTTTTAAAATAAATAACAGAAAAAACTTTTGAATTTAAAAAGTGATTTTTTAGAAACATTTTCCTAATAAAATTAACAACAATAATAGCAGAAAGTTTATCAAAAACCATAAATCTAATCCCAGCCATTGATGATTTTTTTTCTCTTTTGCAATAATTTTTTCTTTGTCTGTATTTGTTTTTCTC